TCCACATACGTGTGACGAGAGTGCTTTTGACACAACTCAGTGATACCTAAAGCGCCATTTAGCGACAATATACAACTATACAGTCGAAAATGAGGTATTTATCGTGCAGGTATAATTTATATGGGACGAACTAACGTGAAATTGTTTACGAGGACGTGGTAATGGCATCAGCCCTGTCCTCCAGCAGCCTTCCAGCCGTGGACCAAAATTGATCGCATCGGCATTAGCTACCGATCGTCTCGGCCAATAGCCGATTACCACTGCTCCTGGAATGTTTGAATGATTTTTCACCTTACCATCTTCCAGAGACAGTTCGCTTTTCGAGGCCGCCGAGTGGCTGAAAACTCTCCTAACAACGGAGAGATAAGCAGATTCCGAACTTGCAAGGACGCATCATCAACATCTTTTGGACATTCTTCCAACTGCTGCGCCTTCGGATTTCAGTTCGTGCTGGAACAGATTCAATTTACACAATGCTGTGAACTTCATCTGAGACTCGGCATCGCCAGCATCAGCCAAGCAAATAGTATGAGAGAACTGTAGCACTGTTTGAGCCTCGAAAACATGCTGCCTTTGACTCCTCACCTACTTAAACCCTGCGAATCATAAGACGTCAAGTAAGATTTACTGTGCATGCTGACCAAATAGCTTGGTGGACACAGAAAGCAATGAACATGGGATGAGTGTTGGATGCCGTGCGGCCAGTCCCTGAGAACCACCAGTGTGTGAAATCATCAAAGCTAAAACCTATGCGACCATCTTCAATAAAGGACGCATTGGCCAGCGAGCCGAGTACTGTGAACAACATTCCTCTTGGCCACAGCTGCCACTCAGCTTATCCTAGGCTAAGCGGGTATTTATGACTATACACCTCTCAGGCGCCCTCTTCATCATCGGAAACAGCAACATCAATGTTGACACTGATGCTCCACTGCCCTACAACCATAAAGTTGCTATAATTATTTTCCAATCCTTAGAGTGAAAATATTAAAGTATGGGTGAGGGAGATACCTAGAACTAGTTTACGTCAGGTATTCTGAATTACCTACACCTTCAAGCACTTAATCAGTCATTCTGAAAGGAAAGACAGCACGAACGCCACTGACATTGATCAGCCGTCATTTCTTGCAATGTCTCCAGCCAAGAGCAGGCGAGGTCACGGAGAACCCATCCTGGAAGACACATAACACCCAAACTCTTCGTTATCTCTTTCGCACCATTCTGTCAAATCATGCGTTATCCACCCCGCGGTTTGCGCCATTCCGAAGGAGGCACGGAGAACAAAGTTCATGTAGATAGGCGGTGTTTCGGCATGCGTAGCATCTGGAGGAGCCACCGCGACTGATGGTACTGGTTGTTTTTTATTCTCGATTGTACAACCACATACCCGTTTTCTAATCACCTCGTTACTAATCCGTTGGTGCCATTCAAGACCAGCAACAAATATGAGACATCGGGTGTCAAAAATCTGAGGACTCCACATCGGTTCGCAGAGGTTCACGCAGCTACACAACACAGCCCTTAGTGTAGTCTGGTACACGCGACCCTTCAAATCTAGTGATATGTCTACTTGACGCCACAAGTGACGCAAATTAGCAAACGTGATTCGACCCATTGAGATTCTTGCACTGACTTCATCAGACACATTCCCGTCAGAGCTGATACAGCTACCGAGTTATGTAAAGCTTTCCGCATTCTCCAGTGATCCCTCTTGAATTGCAAGGAAAATGCTCGAAGACTGCACGATCTAAAGCATCCACTTTGAAGGCGCAATGTGCATACGAAAAGATGGTATGATGATGGTCAGTCTATTTGACAGGGCTTGTGCTTCTCTCTGGTCATCAAAGCTGAGTGTGATGCCATCTGCGTACTCCAGCTCGGTAAGGAGTTTTGAAGACCTTCCAGCGTTTGCCTCATTATTTCACCAATGATGAAGTTGAACAAGAATAGTGAGAGTGTACATCCTTGTCAGACACCATTTTTTGTAGGGAAGCTTTTGGAGAGCTCACCATACACTCATCCGCCCAGAAGTATGCGGGTGAAGAGGTCAGATTATGCTCACGAACCTCTGGGGCATACCCTGTTGAGCAAGTGTAGTTATCAGCACTGACCGATCGACGGAATTAAACGTACCCTTGAAGTCAAGGGATACCAAGACTGTGGGTCGTCTGTACATCTGGCGTTGTCAAGATTTGGTCAATGCAGCCTCTACCCGGTCGAAATCCCGCTTGAGTCCCATGAGTCGAGGCGTCGCGTGCTACCGTAAGACGACGAGTAATCAGTGACGCCAGGGGCCTTGTTACGACAGAAGTCAAACTGACACCCTTGTGGTTGCTACATTCACTGCGAATACCCTCTTTGAAAATGGTCACTTCTACCGTCTCACCCTAGTTGTCTGGGGTGGTCTAACTTAGATAAACCCAAACAAGATACACGGGCACTGACTGAGAAGCCCACCGCCACTCTTGAAAAAAGTGGTGGAAGGTCGTCAGGACCAGCAGCACGATGATATACACGCGGAAACTTCCGAGGTTGAAGGCGGCTGCCTATTAAATGAAAAAATAGAAATCATCTAGCTGTAGCACCAATTCGGTGCCTGGCTGCCATACCAACGGAAGGAGGCACGAGGGCTTGGACACTGCCAGGTTGCTCAAGTCTAGACAGGAGCAGTCAAGATGCTGAGGTCGGGTTCGAAACACGGACCTTTCAGGCCTTAACCACTGAGCTTATCTCCATACCATGCTCCATATTTACAATCCGCCTTTCCGTTGAGGGCTAGGATTACGGATTGGAGGTAACAGTTAGCCAACAGGATTGCTGTTTAATCACTGCGCTGAACGGTCCATAGGATCCGCTTTGTTGAATATCAGGGAACCATTCGTGTCCCTGATAATTTCGCTGACAGGAGGATTCCGAGGACTAGTCGAACGAATAAAGTGGAAAATCTTACGGACGTGTTCAGCATTTTTTGCATCTCCCATTTCTTTGGCCTTTCGGACCCACCATGCTTCTTGGTTTACATGGACACTCAGTTCCACCTGACGTCGGGCGGAGTTGTGGTTGCGGTTAGGGGGAATCTGTCGCCGGGCCTCCAACGAACATATGTTCCTATCAGAGATCAACTGTTTGGATGAAGTTGGCTAGGTTGTAGCGAGAACAGAAGTTCCGGCTGTGAGTAGTGCTTTAAACATCTTTTGCCAGTGGCCATTTATATCTGATATCTAACTATCTGGCAGGCGTTCGAGGGGCCAGTTCTGATAGTTACGTTTAATTTCTGGGTCCACCAGCTTCTCTATGGTTCTGTAAGGTGCACGCGTTTTGTGTAGACCTGAAGACCGCAATGAAAGGCAGCAGCGTACAGGTGCATGGTCGAAGTCCACACTGTGTTCTAGAAGGAGCGACAAGGAAGTACTTGACCCTTGCCACCGATAACTGACGGCGATGTGGTCTATTTGGATCCGGCGCCGGTTTGTTGGTGGGCAACACATTGTCAAGCGATTTCCACTGTTCCGGAAATTCGTACTGCAAAGGAACAGTCTGTGATCGGCACATATCTGAAGGAGACGATCTCCGTTGTCTCTGCGTCTCGTGTCCAATCCAAGACGACCATCCAATCAGCAGAGCGTAGCCGACTTGCTTGAGCATACATTTCACCAGCAACTGCAACCATACCTAAGCCGTTAGTCCGTTGTAAAAAAGCGTCCAGATTGTCATAGAAACCGTCTTTGGCGGATTCAGAGCTACACTCAGTTGGGCTGTAATCAAACACAATAAACGGAGTGCAATGGACCTCACGTTCTTGCGATTATCTCACAGACGTTGCCAGACGAATGGCTCGGAGGCCACTGTCAACGGCTGTCCCATCAAGTAAAGGCCTTCCGCCCG